ACTACACATCAAGCGTGTCTTCTTAGAGGGAGAAATCAGTTCTGTGTCTTAGCACAAACCATCTTATTGTATGCATGTTTGTTTAAACACGCATATATAGGAAGAAGTGATTATGGGTATGCTGTTGACAGTGGCTAAGCGCCGTGCTTGGAAAGTGAATTCTAGTCATGCAATAAGTGTATATGAAACATTATTATTATTTTTAGTTATTTATTTGTCCTTTGGGTTCCTTAGTGGAACATAGGGCCTCAGTAGCACGTCACCATTGCATTCTCTTCTCTCCAATCTGGCTGCATCTGGCTCTACAACTGCCCACAAACTTTCATTTCTTCCTCACATGATCTCCATATCACTCTCAGCTGGGACGTCCAACTCATCGTTTCCCGTTTTAGGTTCTACTGGATTACCTGGCACGTGATGTCCCCAAGTAGTCTTCTCAGTGTATGCCCGATCTATCTCCAGTTTTTTCAGCATATTTGTTGGGCGATGGGTTGTTGGTTACCTCTTTGCCAGGTCAGAGTGAGTTCCTTGTTACTTATTCCTATTATTCTGGCCATCTGATCTTCAGTACCGAGCCAGCGTAGGCAGCTGTTGATGATGTACGTCTGTATTTTGTTGGAAATGCTTTTTGTAACGCGCCAAGTGTCTCAACCATCACTATTGAAAATCCGGATATTGTTCACCTTATATACTGAGTACAGTGGAGTGCAGTAGATATCCACACTGATTATTTCAGATTAATGAAGGCCTGTTTTGCTGTCTTTCCCATCCTGGCTTTGACGTTGTAATCTGTGCAGACACCGACTGTAGTTGAGACGATGCTGCCTTGTCTAGGTGGTAAGTAGGTGAAAGAGACTACTTCCTTTAGATTTCTCCCATCCATGGTGATTGGTGCTTGTTGTTGGTTGGGTATCTTCATCACCTCCGTCTTCTCTACGTCCGCTTGAAGTCGCTTTTTCGCTGCTTCGCCTCTTCTGTCAACTTGTTAGTTTTCGCCTGTCCATCTTCGAGTTTGTGTGACATTAGATATACATCATCATCATCATCGGAGAAATCCAAATCTTCTATGGTTTTTTCATCGGTCCAGCGTATGCTCATCTTGTCGCTCCTCACAGTTCGTTGCATGATTCAGTCCAGTCCACCACAATCAAGAAGATCATGGGTGGTAGTAGGCAACCTTGTCTTACTCCTGTCTTCACTTCAAAGACAATATGAAACATATCCATCTTCATCTATAATGAGTCATCTATTCGAAACTTGTTATAAGAGTGACATCAAAATAGCTTTATATTGCTTTAGTAGTACGTTCTGTTATTATACAATGATTAGGTTAAAAGTTGTACTTATTGATGTTAATTGGATACTTCCAGACAGAAGTTATGTCGATATCACAATCAATTAGTAGTTGAAAGACTATTCAGTTGTGAGAAGAGTCAACATAAATTGTGAAATGTGTAAATAAATTACAAAATTGATCGACTATTCCGTTATATTTCGGTTCATCTATGTTGACCTGTTGTTTGACCTAAATTTGTCTGATCATGTCACTAATATGAACCCGGTGACAAGGAATTAGACCAGCTATTTAAATTCTAGATAAGTCTAATCTGTCTAGGGAAGTCTGCAGATTAGACTTCGACTCATAGGTGGTATTCGTTTAATAGTTAATGATGATATAAAGGGTGAGAATTCATGAGAAGAAGTCAAGTAGGAAGGCTGAATTGAAAAGGCCAAATAACAATAAAAATCAATAGAGAGGAAATTGTTTTCAGAGTTGAGTACACAAAGGTGGTGGTTCAAACTTCCTAATAGCTAAGGCCTCAACAAATTTTATGATTCCATCCTTAACACGCTTTGTAAACAGGTTGAAACGAAGTAGGAACATCACGATCGAAGATCTTGAACATCTGCGACCAATTTTTATGTGTTCAGGTCGTTTAATTTGCTTCTGAAGCCAGTTTAGAATATATTCCGAAGCTTTTACTTGGATGAATCTATGAATCCTCCCTATATATGTATCATCACATGTACATTGGAATTGGTAGATGCAATGGGATGTGTTTGGCTTCAGGAGAGTAAACAGGCTTATTGGTTTCTATTAATCGAACCATAGCTGAGTAATAAGTCGTTCTAACAGCAGCGTTAAGTCTCTGCTTAAGGATTGGGCTATGAAAGTTACCTTTGTACGAAAGACTGATGAAGATATCTTTCTTCAGGATAAAGTGATGATCAGATTTTGGCGCTCTGGTTATTTTATGCTGGCTGATTTTCATGCAAATACCTATGAAAAATACTTGTATAGTTAGATTATTCAAAATGTATGCTGTTCTAATACATGACACACTTCAAACAATTTACTTGTCATTGTTTTGTCAAATATGCTAAGTATTTTTCATATTCAAGCATTTTATCTGAAAAATTTGTGATGATGAATACTCATAGATAGGGGGAGGTGTTCTAATACTCTTCCACCACCGAAATTGTGACAGTCAATTAGCATGCATACTCCTCACATAATAGATATAACGCATTGTCCATTATAGGAACAAACACCTGGTTGTTGAGTGCATTGAGAACAAATGCATCACATGAAAAGAAATTGCGGTGATGTGAAGTCATGTTGGAAAACAGAATAAGCACTATGTTGATTGATGATAATGAAACGATGAGGATACTTTTTATACTTCCATACCTCTAGACATCAAATATGCTAAAAAAATCCACACTACTTGGAGTCCTGAAACTTTAGGAGATGAACTTAATTAATTTCCTCAAGAATTTTTTAATTGAAAACCAGTATCCTGAACATTTTATTGTTAAAACTATAAAATACCTTGGCGTTTGAAGTGATGGGTACGAGGTTGGACAGCATCACTCACGGGGGTGCAGGTACATCCAGCTGACGAGTCTCAAGTAGGATAAAACGCCCATCCTGGATTTCTCTGCTAGTTGTAACTAAACAAATTACCATTCAGACAACATCGAGACATCCATATATATGAGCCCATATGTGAATAGAGGTCGAACAATGCTATCTAATAAAACAACGGAGAATTACAAGTATATCAATAAATAGTAAAACCTAAATCTCTTTTTGTATAGCAAAAGGAAGTTAATTAATATAAGTGATGGTTTAGAATAGGAAAATGAACAGGGGATCAGGGAAATAAAAGGTATAACTATGTAATGGTGGATAAATCTATGACAGTCAAGGCCTTATGATGTCCGCAGCAAAGACAAAGCTCGTTTGAAATTCTGAATGGATTATGTTCCACCTATAACCAAATGCTTTGATCGTAATCCCTTCGAGCTCGCAAAAGGAGCTGAGCGGCTTGAGTACCTAAGGTGTTCTGTGACTTAGGTGAATATTCATTTCCATTCTCACTTTGTCAGCTAGACTGGATAGTGTTCACGAGCATGTTTTACAAGCAGACGGTTAGCAAGATAGGCGTATTCAGCCTAACATAAGCAAGTAAACTGGTATACACACACATTGATGTGACCCAATGCATCGACTTGTTTTTAACACATTGACCAAAAAAACATTCGCTTGTAAAACGTGCTCGTGAACACTACCCAGACTGGTTGGTCGGCGAAGGGAGAAACGAAATACATCTTCAACTTAGTCACAGAACACCTTAGGTACTCAAGCCATTCAGCTCCTATTGAGAACTCATTAAAAATCTTTTAGTGTTCGATCTAACCACTTGAAGGGAGTAAGATCAAAGCATTTGGGTATGGCTGAAACACTACCCATTCAGAAGTTCAAACCAGAGTTATGCGTCCAAAAAAGGTACGTCCAACCTTTGTCTTTGATATAGTCATCCTAAAGCCTTGATTATCAGAGACTTTTCCTGATTGCGGTGGACTGAATCATGCAGCAAACCGTGAGTTGAGAGAAGATGGGCATACGCTGGACCGATGAAAAGACCATGGAAGATTTGGATTTCTCCGATGATTTGTATTTAATGTTGCACGAACTCGAGTTGACAGAAGAGGCGGGAAAACGAAGACGGGACTTCAAGTGAACGTAGAGAAGACAGAGGTGATGAAGACACCCACCCAACAGCAGCATGAACAACAATAACCAACCATCGTTAACGAGAGAAACTTAAAGGAAGTAGTCTCTTTCACCTACCACCTAGGCAGCATCGTTTCAACCACAGGCGGCACAGGCACAGACGAGGAAGTCAAAGTCAGGATCTGAAAAGCAAGACAGGCGTTCATTAGCCTGAAATCAGTGTGGAGATCTACTACACTCAGCATAAAGCATGATCAGGATTCGGATTTTCAACACCAATATCAGTCAAGTCATTGCTTCTATGTGATGGTTGAAAGACTTGGCGGCACATTACAAAAAGCATTTCGAACAAACTACAGACATTGATCAACAGGTGCTGCCTACACTGGCTCTATACTGAAGATGAGATGAGGTGGCGGAAATAGTGAGAATAAGCAAGAATGAAGTTTGAGTGTCTGTCAAGGAAGGAACGGAGAACCGATCGCCCAACAAATATGTATTGGAAGACAGTGTAGATTGATTGGATTGGTGATAGACTGAGAAGGTGGAGTGGGGTGATTACTCGCCAAGGCAGTAGAAGTTGTCGAGTGGGATGCAGAGAGGAGACGAGTAGTTTTGCGTTTGAGTTGAGGGTAACATTGAGGAGATGATATGAGGAAGAAATGAAAGGTTGTGGGCAGTCGTGGAGAGAAGAGAGTGGAATGTAGGCGTGTTAGCGAAGCCCTATATTCCACTAGGAACCCAAGGGAAAAATAATAATAATAATAATGATAATAATAATAATAAAAGAATAATAATCATATATTCATCTCATATTACATAGTTATACTTTTTATTTTACCAATCAAAACCTTGACGGACATGAAGAGCTTAGTAAATGATTTTTTCATTACAACCGCCTTTTTATCTAGATTATGTTTTTCTTTGTTAACTTCCAGGAACATTAATATTATGTCATAATTATTTCATTTTAACTTAGAATGCTACTGTACAAACTATATCTGGAACTGGAGCTCTGAGAATTGGTGGAGCTTTTGTGGTAAGTATCACTTCTTGTTGTTTTTGGTGTTGTTATTATAATCACTGTTATTATAGAGTGAATTTGCTGAAAAAAAGCATATTTGGATGCCGACACCCACTTGGGGCAATCATAAAGCTATTTTTACGTAAGTTATACTATTCATTGTAATGCTATTCATTTTTATATAAACTATAATCAAGACTTGATTGTATAGTATGATAAATATTGGGCGCTGACTGAATAAAAGGTTAACATTAGATATAGATTGTATATTTGTGTAAGTCATAGCGAGTTTGAAATCAAATCATTCCAAAATTGTTTCACATGGAAGTCTACCGCGAACTTCTCCAGGAAAAATAATCAAAATTAAAATATCAAAGATCAAAAAACGTGTATTTGATCTCCTTGTCCAATCCTCTTCGTATAGTCATTGTCTTTCTAAATTATGATAACTAATCATTCAAGTCGTTATTCATCGTAGACTGATATCAGTTGGAGGAACGATGGGAACCCAGGAGCACTAGACAGCTGTTTCGTCGCAGTATGGGACTCCTCAGCAGTGCGCACCCACGACCCCACCCCACCAGGGATCGAATCCGCTACCTTCAGGTTCCGTGGCCAGCGCGTTACCATTGAGCCACCAAGTCAGAATCCAATGCTCCATATTTCCAACTTCTGTTAGCTCTTGATACAGCGCAACCGCCACCCAATGTCATCGTTGAGTAACTGTCCTCACGATCCCTGTCGAGGTCGTGGGTGCGCACTGCTGAGGAGGCCCATGCTAGGACGGAACAGCTATCCAGTGCTCCCAGGTTCCCATCGTTCCTCCAACTGATGTCAGTCTACGATGAATAACAGCTTGAAATATTTCCAAATCTCCACAACTCCCTCAAAACTAATCATTCAGTGTGAAATTGTATGTCTCTTGTTGTATGCCGTGTGGGTGCGTGTGCATGTGCGTGTGCGTGTATGTATGTTATATGTATATGCATATATACTAGGCGATGAATGAAGATGAAGTGAAAATCTAGACCACGGTCGGATTCAAACTACCGACCACCAGGTTACCTGCCCGATACTCTACCAACTGATCTATGAGGTCCAACTTCTGACCAGATTTTTATTTCACTTCAATCACTAAGGGTTTTTACCCGATTACCGTGTGAATTCGTGACGCATTACTACCCCTTGATCGTATTCACACTGGCTGACCACCAGTCAGGACTTCTTATCCTAATCCAAATCTAACTGAATCAGAGAGGGGGAGCTTATATGTACTCCAATTCATCTTGATTGTAAATATCAGATAAAAAGGTCACAGGTGATGATATTATCGTCATTGAGTGATTTTATAAGTACAACGAAATGGATCAGGCGGATATGTATACACTCTTAGTTGGAATATGATGGTGAATAGTATTCCCGTTGATCTACCAGGAAAAGACGGAAAATGAGTCATGATTCTGATGAAGATGATGATAGTAATAGTGAATCAAATCAATCCAAATTGTGTTGTTGTTGTTGTTGTTGTTGATGCAGAAATAATGAAGTTGAGACTGGTGTTGACAGTAAATGCTTTGAGTCACTCTTTCTACTTACTAATTAGTAATTGCCAAGAGGCAACTAACTGTGCTCCATCTCGTCTGTTCAAACTATCTGAACTGGCCCATATATATGCAGGGCTTCGGCTGTCAACCTTTCTTGGGGATCTACTTTAAGCATAGTTTATGCTTATTGATCCTCACATTTACCTGCCTGGCTGTTTATCCTGCACATACTGCAGTACAGTCATCGCATTTGATTTCATGAACGCAGTTCTGTTGATTTTCTTTAGGTACTACATCTTTAACTTCATTAAGTTAGAATGTAGGGTATTTGTTGCATGGAAGTAAACTCTTATGTCGTGTTTGTTGAGAATCCTTCTTATCTATTCTCAAGTCTCCTTTCGGTATGAGATTATGACAGTGGTTGTCCAATTCTTCGGAGGGATTTTCGTGACATCCTTAATTTCATTCTTTATAATACATCTAAAGTAATCTTTGAGATAATTGTTTGCTTCCAGTGTATGGCAAACTGACTTTAACTCTTCTTCTTTATCCTCTTTTGTTGTAACAAGACGGTTAGCCCTGCTAATCAGATTCCATGCGACAGTTATCTTAATAGCCAAAGGATGTGCAAACTGATAATTGAGATATCTGTCAGAATGTGTTGCTTTTCTGAAGATCTTAATCTTTAATTTGTTGTAATCCCCTCTTTCTACTATAGAGTACATAATGTTGAATTTCGACAGATCGGATTCAACTTCCTTAGTGAAAGTAATACTTCCGTACAGATTACTTATGTAACAGAAGAGGAGTTTTTCCAGACTGTTTCGCTTGATGATGATGATAAATGTATCATCTACATACCCTAACTAAATTCTTGGAGGTGTAGAACAATTTCCTATTGCATTTGTCTCTAACGAATGCATGAACAAGTTAGTTATTATTAGTGATACTTGAGATCCTATTGCTATACCGTCTGTCTGTCTGTCTGTCTGTCTGTACAGATATCCTCTGAACGTGAATACAGTCGATCATAAGCATAATTTCAGGGACTTTAGAATCTCTTCTGGATCTAATAGGCACTCTGAATATAGGTTACTATCTGACAGTCATAGGTTGTAAGCGATGTCTAATACATCTTTAACAGGTACGTTAATAAATCAAGAACAAACATTTCAGCTTGTCATTATCTCATCTTCTTCAATATAAGATGAAATAATTCTATTCATGAATTTAGACAAATTCTTTATTCGTTTTATTTTGAAATTTTTACCAACTATGTATAAGGTGGAATTATGAAAAAAAGGTTTATCTATTTTGAATGCGTTTCACACCAGTCAAATGTAAAATGATACTCCATGATTGACCTGCTGCCAATACTCATAGTTTAATGATAATGTGGTGGAACCTATCGACCTCTTCTTCACGGGTCCATTGATGACGAAATCTCAGATTGGATACTGAAGGTTTGTTTGGTGTTTGTCAAATTGCGACTGTTGAGGTATCCGACTGAACTATCATAGGATGTGTATACTGCTCTACCGTTTCTTCTGTAATGTTGTACGAATGTGAGACATGAACGTTAACAGTATCAGACATGAAGCGATTACAGGTTTTCGAACACAGATATCTACGTATCATTGCTCGTGTATAGTGGAATTACCATGTGAGCAATGTTGTGGTCAGGTGAAGGGTATCAAGCAAGCCAGGAAAGTCGGTTGGTGAGATTCTGAACCTTAGTCGACTGAGATGGCTTGGAGATGTACTATGCATACCGACTCACCGCCTACGTGAAAGCTGGATTAGGTTCGAGGAGGAACCAGATTGGGGAGACTAAGACGTAGCATCAGTCGATGAAGTCTCTTACTGTTTGTCTGAGTCATGTGAAGAGATATGGACTACTTGATTGGGTTCCACGAGACGAAGCGAATCAGTAGTTGAGGAGACTTGGTGACATCATGGCTGAAAACCTGTTACAATGGCGCTGATGTATTCACTCCTTGACGTCTTCTAGGGCTTGAATATTCGCATTAACCTTCAGCTTCCAGCTGTTTATCCCCTCATCCACACAACTTTGTCTACTTTGACATCATTCCTTTTCTATCCATCGGTTCTTTGTGTACTACTGTAAAATGTGGTAACTTGAGCCGATGCAGTTGTGTACGAGGTTCCAAGTTGATTTTCTCAGTCAGTCAGGAGGTTGAATGCTAAATTTAGACAATATTATCTATAATGGGTGATTATTGAAAGTGAGCTGAAGATTTGGACTGTGTCCGGGTTCTAACCAGCGACCACCGGGTTACCGGCGCGATATTCTACCAACTGAACTACGAGGTCCGACTGCTGACCAGGTTTGTATTTTATTTCAGTCACTATAGGGTTTTGTTCGAATACCATTTGAATTCGTGATGTATTACTACCGCTTGATCGTATTCACACTGACTGCCTGATCAAGACTTCTCATCTTAATCCAAATCTAACTAAATCAGAGAGGAAGAACATCATATAGGCTATCATTTTGACCATGAGATAGCCGTGGTAACGGTAGCAATAGTAACGCGTCACGAATTCATATGGTAGTCGGGCAAAAAACGTATGGTGGTTGAGGTGAAATAAAAATCTGGTTAGTAGTAGGACTTTGGAAAAGCAAGACAGGCTTTCATTAATCTGAAATCAGTGTGGAGATCTACTACACTCAGCATAAAGCATGATCAGGATTCGGATTTTCAACACCAATATCAGTCAAGTCATTGCTTCCATGTGATGGTTGAAAGACTTGGCGGCACATTACAAAAAGCATTTCGAACAAACTACAGACATTGATCAACAGGTGCTGCCTACACTGGCTCGATACTGAAGATGAGATGAGATGGCGGAAATAGTGAGAATAAGCAAGAATGAAGTTTGAGTGTCTGTCAAGGAAGGAACGGAGAACCGATCGCCCAACAAATATGCATTGGAAGACAGTGTAGATTGATTGGATTGGTGATAGACTGAGAAGGTGGAGTGGGGTGATTACTCGCCAAGCCAGTGGAAGTCGTTGAGTGGGATGCAGAGAGGAGACGAGTAGTTTTGGGTTTGAGTTGAGTGTGACATTGAGGAGGTGATGTGAGGAAGAAGTGAAAGGTTGTTGGCAGTGGTGGAGCGAGGTTGAAAAGACTTGAGAGAAGAGAGTGGAATGGAGGTGTGTTACTGAAGCCCTATATTCCACTAGGAACCCAAGGAGAAAAATAATAATCATAATAAGAATAAGAATAAGCCGGACCTTGTAGCTCATTTGGTGAAGCATTGTGTCAGAATCCTGGTGGTCACTGGTTCGAATCCAGCCGCACTCCAATTTTTCATCTCACCTTCACTCATCACCCAATATCTATAGTACAAGTCTGCAAAATCACAACTGATATCTCAGATAGGTTAAATGATACTTTTTATGCGTCTAATCACCGTAAATGTCAACTTTAATGTTTTAATACTTTTGTTATTTAAAATTTATCTTTTTCAGACAGAGTGGATTAAATGTTCATCAATATCGTTATTATGATAATAAAACGTGTGGTTTCGATCTAGATGGTTGTTTATCTGACTTGATGAATATTCCTAAAGGACACTTTGTCCTACTACATGCATGTGCACATAATCCAACAGGAGTAGATCCATCATTTAGTCAATGGGAAAAAATTGGAGATATTTTAAAATCTCATGATTTAATTCCATTTTTCGATTTTGCTTATCAGGTAATTATATATAAATATTTCATAGTGTTGTACTCATCTATTCGATAATTATTATTATTATTAGTCCCTTGGGTTCCTAGTGGAACATAGGGCTTCAGTAGCACGTCTCCAGTGACCTCTGTTCTCTGAGATCTTTTGAACCTGGTTCCACGACAGCCCAGAAGCTCTCATTTCCTTCTCGCATGACCTCCTCCATATCACCCTTGCCTCGGACGTCCAACTCGTCGCTTCCCATGGGGATTCCACTCGAGGGACTGGCCTGACGCGTGATGTCCCCAGTCGGCCTTCTCAGTGTATGCCCAATCCATCTACACTTCCTCCTGCATATTTGTTGAGTGATAGGTTGTTGGTTGGTTCGTACCCAGAGTTCCTTGTTGCTTATTCTTTCTGGCAATCTATCTGATCTTCAGTAGCGAACCAGCGTAAGCAGTTTTTGATGAATGTCTGTAGTTTATTGGAAATGCCTTTCGTGACGCGCCAAGTCTCTCAACCATACAGAAGCACTGACTTGACGTTGGTGTTGAAAATCCGTATCTTGTTCCACATGCTGAGTGCAGAAGATCTCCACACTGGTTTCAGTCTAATGAACACCTGTCTTGCTTTTCCGATTCTGACTTTGACGTCCTCGTCTGTGCCACCTGTAGTTGAAACAGTGCTTCCTAGATAAGTGAAGGAGGTTACTTCCTTTAAGTTTCTCCCGTTGACGGTGATTGGAGTTTGTTGTTGTTGTTGATGGTGGTGGTGCGGTATCTTCATCACTTCTGTCTTCTCTATATTCACCTGAAGTCCCGTCTTCGCTGCCTCTTCTACCAACTTGTTAGTTTTTGCCTGCAGATCTTCAAGTTTGTGTGACATCAGGCACAAGTCATCATTGGCGAAATCCAAGTCTTCTAGGTTCTTTTCCGCAGTCCATCTATTCGATAATACTTATCAGTATTTATGACGTGATTTTTACGAGATGTTGTGTGGAGATCTACTGAACTCAGCATAAAGCGTCAACAACATCCAGATTTTCAACACCAATATATCAGTCAAGTCATTGCTTCCATGTGATGGTTGAGAGACTTGGCGGCGCGTTACAAAAAACATTTCCAACAAACTACAGACATTCATCAGAAGGTGCTGTCTACACTGTCTCTATACTGAAAATGAGATGAGATGGCGAAAATAGTGAGAATAAGCAAGAATGAAGTTTGAGTGTCTGTCAAGGAAGGAACGGAGAACCGATCGCCCAACAAATATGTATTGGAAGACAGTGTAGATTGATTGGATTGGTGATAGACTGAGAAGGTGGAGTGGGGTGATTACTCGCCAAGCCAGTGGAAGTCGTTGAGTGGGATGCAGAGAGGAGACGATGAGTTTTGGGTTTTAGTTGAGTGTGACATTGAGGAGATGATGTGAGGAAGAAGTGAAAGGTTGTTGGCAGTGGTGGAGCGAGGTTGAAAATACTTGAGAGAAGAGAGTGGAATGTAGGTGTGTTACTGAAGCCCTATATTCCACTGGGAACCCAAGGGGGTAAACTAATAAATAATAGTTTTACGAGGTATTAACTATTGTATTCTCCAAACTGTATAGCAGAACACAGCTACCATGTACACGTTTGCACACTAGACACTTAGTCACGTAGTCATCTGGATTAACATAGAACCAGGGGTTATTGCGTAACAAGGCAATGAAGGGGAAGATGAGATAAAGTATGGGGTTAAGATATGGATAATGTGTGTAAAACATCTGCACGACTGACATAGGTTCTCAGCCATGCGATCACCTAGAGTCTCCAACCACTGGTTTCTCTTGTCCTACGGACCCTTACCGGCTAATCTGGATTACCATACATGGCTGAAACCATGTTATTAGCATGGCATTCCCGAGCCTTCTTCCAGCCTGAATCTACTTCTGCTAACATTGTGCTACGAGGCAGATGATAGCTTAGCCACACCTTTTTTTGTGATGGATAGTGCCACTGACTAGTTATATAAACCTTGGTAGGTGGAATTACATTCGAGCTTATGACTCATGGATTAGAATTCGGGAGCCTAGACCGATGAACACATCCCCACCCACACACACATACTGAGCTAAATGGCATCAAATTTGATTACGCTTTAGTCAATGTTAGATATTTAAAAACAAATGATAGGAGGCTCCACATCAAAATCTCGTATCAGCCGACACTGTTCAGTCGGATGCTCTGGAGACTCGATGTAAATTTATCTACTCTCTGAGTTGTATAACGAGATGTAGGCAACGTTGTTGGGTTTCTAAAGGTGATCCTAGTCAATGGTCAGAGACTTTATAAAATATTCACTCTTTAGGTATCTTCAAAGTCTTGAACATTGATGTTCATCTACTTATTCTATCAACTAACATGCACTTTTTTATACACTAATATCACTCGTTTTCTAATTACTTCCACTTTGAATACTGTTGTGAAGTATGAGAACTTGATATGATGCCCATCCATGCCAGGTTCTATACTGATTTAGAAAAAAAGACTGATTGAGCGAAGAAATATATAATCATTTTCAACTAGGTCTTCGTCTTGGACTCTACACTAAAACATTGTTTTACAATTGGTTGTATTGCGTTCTCTGAGCTAGCTGGGTCGCTGACTTGTGGAGCTCTCATCGTCTTGCTAGACAACGTAACCACCAGCACTAACTTCAGTATGAATTGAGCTGTCAATATCTCTCTGTGAGTGACTTAGTAGCTTGCCCTGACCAACTGGCTTGTGATTGGCTGTTTCCTCTAGCTGTTGTGTCACTGACTACATAGATTTTACTGTTGGCTGTTCCTCTGCTTCACCTCTCACCTTTCTATCGTTTATCATTTTTTGAGAACAAAACGCAGTACAACAACTTCGCAGAGAAACGAAGAAAATCACTTGATGTCTATTCTGAAGAAGAATGACTACCTGCGAAACTTTATCATAAGATGCCTATCCCATTCATCATCAACTACAGAGTCATCGACAGAAATCAATAAACACATCATCCTACCATACATAAAGAATAAATGAGAAATCACGACAAGATTACTTAGACCATTTGGTGGAATTGGTGTGGCACTCATTATTCAACGAATTCTCTCCAGACACTATTATGTAAACCAAATGATGCTCCACATTTGACATTTCTGTCGTTTTATATTTTTCTCATTGGTTGACAGATTGGGTCTATGTCTATACATCTATTGATTGCTGTGTCAAGGTCCTAGGAATTCTGATATTCTTTGTGTTTCCTCTCTCCCTCCAACATTTCTACGTTGTCCAAATTGAATTCATGTGTATAGTTGTTATCCATGTGGATAGAAATGAGTGATGGAATGTCGTATGTGACGTTTAATAGTTAATTGGTGTTCATGTAGACGAAAGCGAAGAGGGTGACCACTTTATCCAATGTGGTGTTGACTCCAGTTAGCTACTGCAGTTGATTTTGTAAATGATGTTCGGTTTGTCTTCTTTGGTTGTTGCATCTTTCAATCTACATTATAGTGTCTGGAGGGAATTTGTTGAATAATGAGGTGCCACACCAATTCCACCAAATGGTCTCAGTAATCTTGTCGTGATTTCTCATTTATTCTTTATGTATGGTAGGATGATGTGTTTATTGATTTCTGTCGATGACTCTGTAGTTGATGATGAATGGGATAGGCATCTTCTGATAAAGTTTCGCAGGTAGTCATTCTTCTTCAGAATAGACATCAAGTGATTTTCTTCGTTTCTCTGCGAAGTTGTTGTACTGCGTTTTGTTCTCAAAAAATGATAAACGATAGAAAGGTGAGAGGTGAAGCAGAGGAACAGCCAACAGTAAAATCTATGTAGTCAGTGACACAACAGCTAGAGGAAACAACCAATCACAAGCCAGTTGGTCAGGGCAAGCTACTAAATCACTCACGGAAAGATATTGACAGCTCACTACTTCATACTGAAGTTAGTGCTGGTGGTTACGTTGTCTAGCAAGACGATGAGAGCTCCACAAGTAAGCCACCCCGCTAGCTCAGAGAACACAATACTACGAAGATCATTCCCCGTAGCTACAAATATTCTCCACCATAGTTTTACAGTTCAGTCAAAATACCAATCAAGTGGTAGTGGTGGGGAGTTAGTGAACAATGATCAAGCGATTTTAAGTAAGTCATGAAGATGATAAGTTTGAGAAATTAAGATGTAAATAATGAATAGAGTAGTTGAAATTCGTAGTATATGAAGCAGGTTATGCTTAGATAAAAATGGAGTGGTTTTTGATTAGCGATTACGTAATAGCGAGAAAACAAAAGAATATTGATAGAAATATGATGGGGAAAAGTTGTGCAAATTAATCCTAGAAGTTACATCATGTTGACGACTATGTTAATGAAAGTGGTCGAACAAACTTCTTTTGGATACAACGGTTAGGTATGTTTTTCAAGATGGATTACAATCGCCTCTGTTATGTCATGTAAGCGACGGGTGTCAGTAGTTATTGTGTAACTTGTAATTTCCCGTTTGATATACAGGGCCACATCGCTCGACCTTTGTTGGCAGATGGGCTCCTATGTGGAGGCCTCTGTACTGCCGAGTATTTATGATGTCATATGTGATTTGCAAAATTAAAGTGCAAAGTATTTTTGCAAAATTAGCAGAAGCCTATGTCTGCACTCACCCTTGGTGGTGAGCCGTTGGAAATAGTCGGAAAGTTCGTGTATCTGAGTAGTTGTGTGAGGAGTGCTGATGAAGATGTGGGTGATGAAATTTCTAATCGCATATCGAAAGCCAGAGTGGCATACCTCAATCTGCGCTCTGTTGCCGTCGCGATTTTAGTCTGAGCGTAAAAGATCGGGTTTACAACGATTTGGTGCAAGCAGTTCTGCTCCTACACCTGTTAAACCTGGCCTCTTCGAGCTGAAGATATGCGACGACTCTATGTGTTCGATCATCGTTGTCTCCGTAGGATTGCTGGTATCTGGTGTCAACACCATGTAAGTAATCCTGAGGTACGACAGCGTGTGTTTAGGCATGATGGAGATCGTCATTCAATAAGTCACCGACTTCGGTGGCTTGGACATGTGTTACACATGTCGTCCCAACGGCTTCCACCATGCCGTTCATTGTTTGCTAACCCTGAGACTGAATGGAAGAAACAGTAGGGTGGTCAGTGTATGACGTGGTGCCATGGGATAAAGGATAGTTGTACCGGGTCAGCATCTGTTGGTGTATCACGACTTTGTGGGTAGGGTATGAGAGATCACGCAACTCAGTAGCTTGAGAGGTTATCAGATATAGCTCACAATTGAAACCAGTGGCGGTCATGCTGTAACCTCTCCCTTCAGCTGCTGAAAAGTAGTGAATGTTTCGTTCCGAATGTACCTTACTGGATCGCCCTACTAATAATTCTGTTCTCATTGTGTTTTATTTTTATCCACTTCCCTTCTCTTTATATCTTCATAATGTTGTTATATTATTTTGTGTGGTGCATTTCTTGATGCCCTTGCTGTACCTCATTTGTGTTCTAATAAATAAGATAAAACAATAACTTACTTTGAGATAGAATTCTCGAAGTTATAATGGGGAATTGTGACCTATGGGGGTGAACCAAATCAGAGGTGAAGGGACTGATCACTCACATCATCAACAACATCAGCGTAGGTCTAAGCATTGCTGTATAAGTTCAAGTTTCCACACTTTATATCAGGACGTCAGTAACAAGGGAATAAAAATGGGAGATTAAGAAATTGCTCAGAAACAGAAGAAGAAGGAGGAATAAGAAAATACCGAATATGGTGTGACTATTGAGATGTGGATAATATGTAGATACATCTGCCTTTAATATGCGTTGAAAAGGGGAGTAGGACACACAGAATTCATCATCATCCATTAACATAGGATCAGGCATTACTGCGTAACGGCCCGAGTTTCTGCCACACCTCATATCAGTACATCAAGTAAAAGCCAATGAAGTAGAAGATGAAGAAGGGAAGAAAATTCAGTTAAGAGAAATATAGAGCACTAAAAGAGAGAAAGGAAGAATGAAAAAATGGTGAGATTCGGTATGGCGTCGTTAAGATGAATATAATGCGTATGTATACATCTGCCCCACTGACATCCGTTCTGAGCCATGTGATCACCTTGTTATGCGGACCCCAACTGGCCAATCTGCATCGCACTACCTGGTTCAAACCAACAGTCAAACACTTCATACATTGATATCCTGTTTTAGTGTGGCCACCACGGGCCTTTTTCCAGCCTGAACCTACTTCAGCCAACATTGTGTGACGAGGCAGATGGTGATTAGACATACGTAACACATGTCCCAGTCAACTAGCTAGTCATCTGAGTTGATGAAGGTTGACAACTGTGTCAACTGACTTACCTCTTCTCCCTAAAACTCTACGCGTGAATCTGACTTCTGAGTTACTCACGTGGTGACACCACGGAATACGGTGTATACTACGAAGGCCAGGATGGTCAAATACCTGAAGCCAGTTGTCTCATATCTTCCACCTTCAATGGCCATATTTCCGAGCCATGGAGTAGAACAGAGTGGAGTGCTGTCTAGTACACTCGACCTTTAATAGACAACGAGATATCACTGCTGTGATGCGACAGGTGGTGTGAGTTGGCTAAAGCCAGCCAGCCAGCCAAGCCTTTTGTATGTGTGTAGACATTTCATCGAGCAGTGAGCCAGTCACTAGGGTAGGGCTGATCCTACTTCCCAGGTAAGTGAAGTGATGGACATATTCAACCACTACACTCTGTTGTTAGTGTTGACATTGTTGAAGACCAATTGTGGAGCAACAATCTGCATTTGGGTGATGAGAAACGCATCCCAAACATTCTCGAATTGGCACTGAAAGTGTTCAGAAGAGTCGGCATCTTGTCAGCGTCTTCACCTAACAGGATTATGTGATCTGCGTATTCTAGGTCTAACGAGAATTCTCGTGGGCTGAGGGCAACGTCTGTGTAGTCAGGTGAGGTGACGAGAGTGAGACGTGCATAAGAGAAAGTATGATAAAATTGAAAAAGGATGGAGAGAATGGGCACCTATGACGGATACCACTTGACGAGTACAGCTCCTCAAACATACAGAGTTTAGCCTAGGTAAATTGCTGTACATCAGAAAGTATGCTAGTGGTTCTTAATACCAGTATTGCTATAAAAAGGTTAACCTTTCACGTATAAAGGTCAGTAGCCGAGATTATTCTACTTGTTTATACTGAAATATAACACTGAAGTCTACCTATTTAACTTCCAAGTTCATGTATAAGGTTTTTGTAGAGATAGAATAAGTGATTAGTTTAGACTGCCCATTATTTACATCCAATGTAGGTCTCTTGAAGAAATTGGAATTTTTTCATGTTGAAAGTCACTCAACACAAAACTCTGTCTTGGTTCCATATCCATCACTCCTTACAAAGATGCAGGTGCATCCGGCTGATGAGTCCCAAACGGGACGGAACGCGTGTCCTGGAGTACACTGCTGGTCACCATGAATATCAAGTAGGATTGGGGTATCCACATAGGAGCCCATCTGCCGATAGAGGTCGAGAAAGTCGGCCCTATATAGCAGCTGGGAATTACAAGTATCAAACAACAACTGATGATAGCTGCACAAGAGATGGCTATCGTGCCCCAGTGGATAACGCTTCCACGTTTGAAGCGATGGGTGGTGGATTCAAATCCGTCAGTTGGAACCACATCACTCACTAGGGTGCAGGTAAATCCAGCTGACAAGTCCCAAATAGGACGAAACGCGCATCGTAGATTCCACTGCTAGTGACCAAGATGAATGTAATATGTTTGTTAGTTGGACTAAACATAGTATTTTTCAAGTCCAGTTATATAAAAGTATTTATAGATATATCTGTGAGTACTGGACGACCATTTTGTCTTCAGCGAAGCGAACCAGCAACCCTATTAGGGGTCGTACGTGAGTTTAGTCAGTGCTCAATGCGAGCATATTCTTACTTTCATCAGTTCACGATTTATTTAAAGCATCATTCAACATCATTTGTGGTCATGCTTCAACTTGTTTGAATCCACTTGAAGACAACTTCAAAGAAATCTTTATTGTGTATGTATGTTGATCAAAATTTACTCAATTACTGGTTTATTAGTTAAAACTGCAGAATACAGTCGTTATTGAAAATAGATTCAGAAAAGTCCTAAAAGCTGTATCAAAGCTAACATCATTCATAATAGTGTCAAACAAGAGTTGATCATAAAGGAGAAGTCTTTGTTGTTTCTACGGTTACAATTCAAAACAGATGCTCTAACTCTTGTCACAAGACGTAACTAGAGTAGTTAATAAGGCGTTTTATGCAGATCAACTTTGCATATCATTCAGTAGTCGGTCAATGTTTAATTCGAAACTGAGGAATAGTCTACCTAGCCTTAACTCTTCATCTTGAATGTATCTACTTAACTGTTCCTGTGGAACTAGTTACATAAGGCGTATGGTTAGGTAGGTGCGTCTTGGGCACGAGAGCGTTAACCAGCTTAGTTCTGAAAAGGCGAAGTGAAAGTGGTGAAAAGTTCAGTTTTAGCGCACCTATTTGACGACACGGAGCATCACATAGATGCTATTAGAGCTTATAATGTTATACATTATGTACCGAAAATAGTACCGTATGTAGTTCGTCATCGTCTGGTCAACGTAGCTGAGGCTGTCGCAACAAAAATGGTTCGAATCCCTCTACAGTCTGAATTCCTATTTCACCTTCAATCATCACTAAGTATCAAAACAAATCTATCAAACCATGGCTGTTTCAAATAGTCAAAATGATAATCAATATGATGTTCCCCCTCCCCCCTATTTCACTTACATTTGGATTGAGATGAGAAGTCCTGACTAGTGGACAGACAGTGTGAATACGATCAAGGGGTAGTAACACGTTACAAATTCAAATGGTAGTCTGGCACCAACCCATGATGATTGAAGTGAAGTAAAAATCTGGTCAGAAGTCGGACCTCGTAGCTCAGTTGGTAGAGCACCAGGTCGGTAACCCGGTGATCGCTGGTTCGAATCCGGTCACAGTCCAAATTTTCATTTCACCTTCAATCATCACCCAGTAGCAAGATTCAGAATAAGTATCTTCAATAGTTATTCCTCTTGTTTTCCTTGTTTTTTTAACTTTTCTTCCTCAATAATGGTAACTTCAGGCAGAAAATTCGATTGCCTTACAGTTCATTATGAATATGTATTCACCTGAACTTTAACTTGGTTTAGCTTACGCTGTACAATTCTATTTTACAAGTTGATTACAGTTTATTAAAGAGTATTTTCATAATTCTTGTGTTTATCTAAGAAGTAGTATTCATCATGGACTGACATCAGTTGGGGAACCATTGAAAATCTGGGAGCACTGGACAGCTGTTTCGTCCTAGTAGTATGGGACTCCTCAGTCAGTCCATGATGAATACTACTACCAAATTAAAAATCCCTATTCATCTCAAAAATACATTACTCTTGTGTTTATTATTTTGTTTTAGGGATTCGCTTCAGGTGATATTGATAATGATGCAAAAGCACTTCGTTATTTTGCTAATGAATTAAACTTTTCAACTATGTTAATTACACAAAGTTATGCTAAAAATATGGGATTATATGGTGAACGTGTTGGAGCATTCACTTTACTATGTTCATCAGAAGAAGAAGCTGAACGTTGTCTATCACAGATCAAGATAATTATTCGACCAATGTATAGTAATCCACCAATTCATGGTGCTCATATAGTTACTGAATTACTGTCGAATTTAGATTTACGTCGAAAATGGTGAGTTATAACTAATCGAGTGTTATCTAATTGAAGATAATTAGTGTATTACTCTGCCACCATTCCTATTGTTGAGCGATTAATCACTAGACAAGATTTGGCTAATTGCCATAATCATTCGATTATCAACTTGTTAGTCATAGATTCCACTCTCACTTCACCTTGTTCATCATAACCCATCGGGTAATATCATAACACCTCATATGACAAACTCAGCTGATTGCGTAAACATGAACCGTGTTGAGTTGTATGATACAGTGGTATAATGATTACAGTATTATTTAGTGTTATTATTCATCTAGTAAACAAATCTTGGATAGGACTAAAGTCAACCACAGTAGCCAGATGTTACAGTTCGAAGAATATAGTTGAGCTGGATAAAAAGCTGAGGTAATCGAATTAGTAGATGTAACCAGTTCAATGAATCTTTGATTATTGATCTAAGTCGTTTATGAAAGTTCAAACTTTCTTGTTGGTTGTGATCGTCTGAAGAATGGTAGCTGATGGATAGAAACTTCAAGTTATTTTGGTGTGGTGATTTGAAATGTGGTAATCTGAATCGATGATCATTTACACTGGGATTGTGTATAACTGAATGTCTATCTATTTGATAGGGTGTCACAATGCTATGTGAATCTTGTGTATGTTGTATGTTCCATTGATACTTATCATTGTTCCTCGTTATACTTGTTGGAATCGATCAACTTCTGTTGACAGATGAGCTCCTATGAGTAGGATGCTTGTGTAATACCTGAATATTTCATATTGTTATAATTTGCTTGATGGTGGTTAGGAGTATAATCTGAGACGGAGGTGTTTTCCTGTTGTTTATGACTGTCTAGTTGGATGTGCGTATACCTGAAGTGAGTGATATTGTTCTCACTGAGAGACTCGAACCTTGTACCCATTGGTTTGAATGTCAGAGGGTTATCCAGTAGGTTATTGACATACGATAACCGCCTTTTGTGTAACAGATATCAGTTGTTCATTAATTTGGTGTAAGTATTCTCCAATGGGAATGTAAACTGACGTTTCACTGTGCTTAAAATGCTGGTGTATAGTTTTATCAAAGTTCTGTTGAAGCGTAATTTACAATATCCCCCGAAGCTGATGTATGATAAGTTGACAAGTGTTCTTCTACATGAATGATTCAGTGTTATGAGAATTATAGAATAAAGATGATGTCCATAAGTAGGATGTTGTGTGTGTGTGTGAATTACAGATTGAGATTTGTCTGTACACGTGTATTGATAATTGGTGATGTGAGTATTTGGGGGGCTGGGGTGGTTTGAGACCAAGTCAAGCTACATTTTACTCCTTCATTCCTTCCTATTTAGACAATTTTGATTCCACTTAATGTGAAGAGATTCTGTTAGGAGATGTTGTTGATAATTTTTGGAGCTGCCTTTCTGAGTAATTTCGATATTGTCAATGAGTTGATGTTGTGAAGTGAAATTATCGCATGTAGATCTGTGGCTGATATGTTTTGAAGATTTTTCAGCTCCACTGGATTTGTAGGCAGTTAGTCGAGTGGAAGCTCTTCGGTGTTTATTTATTCTAATTATAATTTCATGGGACGTTTATCGTATGCATCTTGTATCATAGTCTGAGAATTTTATTTGATAAAGACAATTGGATTGTGAATGTAGGGGGATCTCATCCTTGGAATGAACTAAGGTGGTTTGGAGTGTGTTTGGTGTAGTGTAGAACACTCTGATGACATTGTATTTGTTGAACACTCTCCTAAATTCATCCGATGTGTGTGTATGTGTGTGTGTGTGGTGTGTGTACAGGATAACTATTGTTGGGGTCCATGATTTAGGAGTAGTTTTACGATCTTTATTATTACTATTATTTGTCCTTTGGGTTCCTATTGGCATTTGGGGCTTCAGTAGGACATCTTACCATGGTCTTAACACTTTCATTTTTTATTTTTAGAATGCATTTCAGTCTAAACGTCAACCCTTGATTCACTGATCAATTGCTTGTTGATGAACTTCCAAAAGTTGTAGTGAGAAGCCATGACTTGTGGAGTCGAATATGTCGGCTTAGAGGACAAATACTTGCCGTAGATCGTATTCAAGCGAGAGGAGTTGGATGATGATAGTCTTCCGATCAAGAATTTTAATGATCCCATCTATATATTGTGAGAGCGGATGGCTGCTGTTGCCGCCACTATATGTCATTAGTCTAAGCAGTTGACCTTCAACTAGTGCGTCACGGGTTCCAAAACCATTACATCTATCGAGATTAAGGCAACCAACTAGTATCATTATCCCTCACAGTGATTAGGTGGATTACAATAAGTACGCAAACGATATTAAAGTGATGAAACACTTGGACTGAATACCAATACCGACTGTTCTCTTTCCAAATCTGTGTGCTTCACTGAGCAACGAAAATCAGAAGACAAAGACCAGTCGGTGACTGCTAGGAAGATGCTTTATTCAGCAAAAATACATTATATACAATTTTCATGAACATATAAAACCACAATGTCAAAAATTAAATAACTTATCCTGATTGGTCAGCTGTTGGAAGAAATTGTCCAATAAGGTTTTCCCTGACCACAATGGTATAAAACAAGTAACTGTTGAAATCCGAAACTTCTACCCTAGAGACTGATGACTTAAAATGTTGATTTCCATTTAGGCCGCCCCCTATCACAAACCCTCATTAGCCCCGATAGCTAGAACATGGATTACGCATGCTTAATCACTGTCTCTCTTGTCACACAAGGTTCAGTGTGCAAAGAACTCAAATAGTGTTATCTGCACTAACGATTAGAACAAAAAGTGGAATGAATGCAGCCACAGACTCGTCAAACCAAACTTTGTATGAAATAACTGCCTGTTTATTCCAAAATAAATAGAGAAACGTTAACCTTCTTATCGAGACACAGCATACTAACTCCATGCACTGGGGTGCAAGGTTTAAAGGTAGTACTCATCATGGACTAACATTAATTGGAGAAGCACTGAACAAGTGTTTTTGTCCTAGTATGAGGCTCCTCATCAGTACTCATCAACAACAGTACCTGGTGTCATCCGAGTTGATCTCTTCCCTGGTTATTATATATAGTGGTGTCAGGTCTCGGTATCTGCAGCCTGCTCTGCCTCATGCGCCAGTGTGTCATAGAAGTGCCTTTTGTCTTTCCCTGTATTATTCTTCTTCAATTCTTGTCCAGTGTAGTGTTTTATAGGTTGTATCCATTTCTTCCTGTCGTTGTGCATCCTTGCACTGGTATCTGAGACGTTACAGCGACTAAAATGTAAAGGAGGTGTTTTACATGCTATCCCTCACAACCTATTCACTTGCAATACAAACCATGATATTGAAGGTTGAGGTGTTGAAACCAATCAGTCACATCATATATCAACCATGATTATTCTTTTCACACATCTCTACTTCAACTGAACTTCTCTTATTCTTCATTCTTGTGCTACAATATTCAATAAACTAAACATGTGTACTATGTCTGATGACTATTATTATTCAAATAAGAAAGTCAGCCTATTAGGTTCCTTCATACAACCATGTTCATTTATGTCTGACAATTCACATTGAATAATGACTCACTGTCAAAAGATTTGCATTATGTTTATGTTTACGTCTAGAAATGCGTTACACATTAGTAGATGTTAGGAAATGAGGTCGCATAAATGGTGTATGGGTGTGTGTGTGTGTCTGTTGGTTGACCCCTAGTCTTTCAATACAACACACTGTTGACAGTCACAACATTCAGGTATCCTTCTCTTTCTCTTTCTCTTCCTATGATCTTTAATTTTAGACCTGTAACTGACAGATGGAATGATCATCCTGTGGATATCTTACTCTTCTTCAAATGAATATTCGTCAATAAGCGGTTTGCACAAACCAAACATTCTATTTTCATTGTTATCTCCATTTCAACAACACATATTTCTTCAGAAATGTTCCTTCATAAACTCGTCTAATAGTTACTTCCACTAACCTCACTGACCAACATTATATCACACTTCGGCATCATAACATTCCTCTACACATAAGAATAATTACAGTAAACAAACAGAGAAGTGAAGGAGTTTTTATGAGTGTAGAGCATCGGTTTGGCAAGTGGAAGAATTCGGTATTGTTATAAATTAGGTACCTATGAACACCGTTTGATTTCTCGCTGCGGAAGAATCTACATCTTGAAGGGATCAGCTATCTGGTGGTCTCACATCTTCTATGCTTTGGTTTTCCACGTGATGACTTGTTCAAATGAATGGCTTCTCACTAAAATGTGTTGATGAAAAAGTGAGATCAATATCTGAAATTCACTGGTCGGTATGAAGAAGTAAGTTAAGGAAACATGCAACGGGGAAACACCAGGCTTTTGCAGAATGTATTCAAAATCCACTATCAGATATGTGGGATGTAGCACATGATAGTACAGATCCGAGGAATAACTATGATGCTCATGAGGTAGCCGAATGTCTCGATATAATGAAGTGCGAGGGCGTCAGCATCAAGTAGCTCTACACAACGCTGTTAAGTGGTGTAGTTGTTTGAGTTGCTCCTCAGGAAAGCCAGAGTTGACATGTTCACTGGTACTTACTGGTCGGACCTAGTTACACAAGCAACGGTGAGTCTCCTCATAGCCCCATTGGGTTTGAACCAACACACCATTATATTTGAGTTAGCAGTAGACGCGATCGATGAGATCCGTATACGCCGATTGGTGTCAGGGATATGCAAGGCACGGATGGGCCAACTGACTGACCATCGGGATTTCGCCCAGTTGACTGAACTCTAGGAGTAGTGTGCCCTAATCAATGCTAAGTGAGTCGACTTACCTGATTCCTGTAGTCACTATTGTTGAAGCAATCCCAAAAGAATTGTGACAGTTTAACTGGCGATTGTCGATAAGAAGAAGGAGATTATGTAGTGAAAATACTGTTACATTGCTAAATTGATAACAGGATTATTAGCTGTTTCTTTCTGTGAACAATCATTGACTTGTAGGTGTCTCTCTGCACACCTGAAGGCCTGATACATGTCTCACTGACGCAGTGTTTCTATGCATATTTAGCGAACTCTTCCTTCTGCATCAGCCTTGAGTTTCTAGAACTATCAGTCTGATCAGATTTCCTTTGTCCTTCATATTGGATAGCCTACGTAACTCCTGCCTTCATTTTCACATCTCCTCAACCCATCATCTCAATTGTCCTTCCTTCATTTCAACTTTAGGAGTATTATGAATTTGTCCAGTCTACTGATTATGTGTAACTGTATGCAACTGATGAGGAGGCCTGTGAGAAAGGAGATGAAATTACTCTCCACCACAACACATATATATCTGTTTCTTCATATATTAGAACTACAGTGAGAACAACAGCATTCACTGTGAGACAGGTACTGACCACTCACAAGTTGGATGAAACGCGCCTCCTGAATTCCACTGACAACCAATGTCCATTCTTATTGTCCATATCTCCTTCAGAGCTGTACAGCAGATAAGAAGTATGCAACTTCTACTTTGTTGTAGGCTGGACTTGTACTTGCTGTCACTATTATTATTATTATAATCATGATTATTTTTATTCCTTTCGGATTACTTGTTAGGCTGATTGATGTGAAAACTATGGCTGACCGTATTATCACAATGCGTAAGAGCTTAAAAGACAATCTAACCAAATTGGGATCGAAACGTGATTGGTCACATATCACTAATCAAATTGGAATGTTCTGCTTTTCCGGACTGAATTCACAACAGGTGAGTGAGTCTATTTCGCCTGTAATTAGTGATCCGCATAATTAACTGTGAGATATATATATGTATATGTATGTATATATATCTATTTCAGGTTAGTATTCATCATGTCACAGACTGACATCAGTTGAAGAGATATTGGTAACTTTGGAGACACCGGACAGCTGCCTCCTCCTAGTTATCAGACTTCTCAGCAGTATCCATCAGAGGTCGAAGTGTGGACCTTCTGATGAGGACGAGACAGCTGTTCAGTAATCCCAGTATTCCAACTAATGTCAGTCCGTGATGAATACTACCTACTACATATTTCCCATTATCTCTCCTGATTGAGGCATTTCATTGTTGTCTGTGCAATTATTTAAAATCATAAATTTGGATTGGACTATAATCAAGTTTCTTTATAGTGCACAGAACTGGGGATTGTGATTTTACAGATATTTACACAAGATTAAAATGTTGTAGTCATCCATCTTTCTCGTCACACAATGTTGGCTGAGGTGGGTCCAGGCTGGAAAAGGGCTCGAGGTGACCAGACTAAAACATGGCACCAGTGTATGAAGTCTCTGACTGTTGGTTTAAGCCATGTGGGACGATGCAGACTAGGTGGTTGGGGTCCACGGGACGAGAGGAACCAGTGGTTGGAGACCCTAGGTGATATGGCTGAGAACCGATGTGAGTGGCGCAGATGTATACACACATTATCCTCATCTTAACTACACTATACCGAATCTCACCATTTTGTCACTCCTCTTTCCTTTCTTCTCGTACTTTATATTTCTTTTGACTGCATTCACTTATCTTCATCCTTCACCTCACTACCTTTTTACTTGATGAACTGACGTGAGGTGTGGCAACTCGGACCGTTACGCAGTAGTAATGCCTGGTCCTATGTTGATAATGATGATGATGAGTCATCCATCTTATCAATAAACTGTTCGATTCAATAAGATAGGTGATTGTCCTATTTCCAGATGATGATTTTGTTGTTCTAACTTTCCTTCAACATTGTTTGCAGGCGATTTACACTTGTCGTCTGGACATGTCATCTCACTTTTTATTGTGTGTAGATAGTTTTCGAAGGTGAACATGCGCTTTCTTTCTTACAGTAGGAACAGCCTTCAAAGTCGTTATATAACTAACTGTGCAATAAGTTGTTTGTACTATAGATGGACAAACTAAATATCTTTTGTAGGGTATTTTGACGTGAATGAGGTTTCTAATTTTAAGATGGTATTCATCACGGAGAACTGTTATCGGTCTGGGAGCAGTGGACAGCTGTTCCGTCCTACGGTGGGACCTCTCAACAGTACGCACTGACACCATTTATGTTCCACGATGAATGAGCTAACCATTCAGTCAATAATTCACAGTCTCCAACTTATGTCAATTCACCATATTAGCGCGACTATCATCCATTGAATCATTTAACTCTAACTCAGAGATTAGGTGTTTAGCGAATCCGCCGTGAAACTTGAAGATCCTGATTTCTATCCATTAGTGGATCTCAGTGTGTACTGCTGAGGAGTCGCATACTAGGACGAAACGGCTGTCCTGTGCTCCCAAGTGTTTTTCAATGGGTTTTTTTTAAACTGATGTCCATACGTGATAAATACTACTTGAATGTTCCTTGCAATTTATACTCAATCTACGGTGTTCGAAATTGTTTACAAAGTCTAATTCAGCCTACATCATTTACAATAGTTGTGAACACCTGGTATGAAATGCAACCTATTCAGCCTGTCTTTCAATATAATTTGTTATGTAGGAATATATTCGTCATTTCAGCTGTGATTCATCCGTTTAGGTAGTTCAGCTGTCATCTAATAGTTCATAGATTCAAACTGTACTCCTACTCTTTAGATTTGGGCAACTTCATTAGAATATATCGATCATTTTACAATACTTGATGACTTTTCTATCAATTCAAAGGTCTTAAACTATCCATTTCAACTCTTGTAGCTTTTTAATGTAGTGCGTATTCATATGTAAGGTGTAGACAAAACTCTGGGTAATGAAAATGAATTTAAAACCTGGTCAGCAGCAATCTACAGGCCGATAGATAGGATCCTATTACAACCTAGATTTTCATCTCCACTTTGAATCATCACCTCAAGATCAATAATAACAGTCTAGCAAAGAACAACCATCTCAGATAGTCTGACGAATAATTGTTTTATTATTCGTTTTAGCTTCATCTTCCCCAGGAAGTAGTATAATGGAGACATCGATTGTTTGCTTGACCCTTCTTCTTCTTCTTCTTCTTCTTCTTCTTCTTCTTCTTCTTCTTCAGTTATCACTTTCTACGTCCTTTGATGACATTTTTCTCCCACTACTCCTATGTCTTTCATCTTACTGCAATGTATCTCGCGTAATTGGGTGATTGCAGAGGAATATCAACTTCAACCGTTAAGCCGCAATATCAAATTCAGTGGTGATATCGATTGACTGAATGTTGTCACTGGCTAGTTGTACGCAAACCAGCAGTGACAATGATCTGTTCAAAGTGGTAATGATTTGAAAGCTATATTGGTTATTTTCTAACAGAGGAGTTCCTCCTTGCCTCGTAATTTCAGAGAAAGTTTTACTACAGCAACTGAGTAAAATAAATGGCTTATATCTGTTTGTCTAAGGCTAGTTGAATCACAGATTAGTTTTTATAAGATTTCTCCAGAATTTTTCAAATCTACGCTCTAGTGACCTAGTGGATTACGCTTTGGTGTTTCTAACGATAACTACTGGGTTATTGAGTCGCAGTAGGAACGTGATCACGAGAAGGCATATATCTCCAGCTGATGAGTTCCCAGATGGGACAAAACGCACATCCTAGATTTCCACTGATTACCATCATCAAGGACCTTTATAACACAGTGAATAAATATTTAGGCATCCGCATAGTAGCTCATCTGTTAACAGGAGTCGAGCAATCCAACCCAGTATAGCTGCAGGTTGTATTATGTTCTCTGAGGTGGGTTGTTTAATCATGTAGCTTTCATCGTCTTTCTGGAAAACATCAGCAGCACTAACTTCAGTATGAAGTGAGCCAGCTGTCAATATCTCCGTGAGTGATTTAGTGGCTTGCTCTGACGATGTGGTCTGTGATTGGTTGTTTCCTTCGATTGATGGTTTATGAGCCACACTAATTCCACGAAGGGGTCTCAGTAATCTTGTCGCGATTTCTGATATATTCTTCACTTACTGTAGGGTGATGCACGGGATAGACATCTTCTGATGAAGTTTCGTGGGTAGCCGTTCTTCTTTAGGATGGACATCAGATAATTTTCTTCGTTTCTCCTTGAAGTTGTTGTGCTGCAGTGTGTTCTCGCTCTTTTGAATAGAGTCTGCATGCAACTGATTTTGTGTGTCGTTGGTATTGTAGTTGAGGATTTGGTCAGTGTGTGTTGGCTTCCTGTACACTTGGGTTTCCAGTTTTCCGGCATCTGTCCTACTGACTGGAACATCCAGGAATGTTAGTTGGTTGTTTGACTCCTTCTCCATTGTGAATTTGATGTGATTGAAAACGTTTTTGACCAAACTGTGGGTGTTTTCATTATCTCTTTTAATGATGACGAAAGTGTCGTCCACAAAGCGAATCCAAATTTTTGGTTTGATCACAGGTGGGCTGATGGCTTCCAGTCTCTGCATCACTGCTTCTGCAATTAGTCCGGATATTGGTGATCCCATTGGAGTTCCTTTCATCTGTTTCTATATCTTGTCGTTGAATTGAGAGTATGTTGTCATACAAAGGTCGATGAGTTCCATCAGACTTGAACATTTGAGTTTTGTGCGTTGTGAAAGGTTTTTGTCTTCATTGAGTTGGAGGGATATCGTTTTCTTGAGCAACTGATGTTCGATGGATGTGTATAGTGCTGTGACAGCAACTTCACGGAGAACCGAAGAATATTACTTGATGTCCACCCTAAAGAAGAACGGCTACCCACGAAACTTTATCACAAGATGCCTATCCCTAGAATATCAACCACAAAGTCATTGGCGGAAATCAATAAACGCATCATCCTACCATACATAAAGAATATATCGAAAACCACGACAAGATTACTGAGACCACTTCGTGGAATTAGTGTGGCTTATAAACCAACAAATTCCCTACAAACACTATTATGCATAGCAAAGGATGCAACAAGCAAAGAAGACAAACGGAATATCATTTACAAAATCAACTGTAGTCAACACTACACTGAAGTGGTCGCCCTCTTCGCCTTCGTCTACATGAGCACCAATTGGCTATTAAGCACCGCGACATTTCGTCACTCATGTGACGAAAAGTACGTGAATGCACGTGGATAAGAACTATGGACATGAAGTCAATTTGGACAATGTAGAAATGTTGGAGGGAGAGAGGAAACATAAAGAATATCAGAGAATCCCTAGAAGCTTGGCATTCAGGTCAGTTAGTCAGCAATCAACAGATGTATAGACATGATATACCCAATCTATCAACCAATAAGAAAAAAGATGAACGACAGAAAGGTGAGAGGTGAAGTAGAGGAATAGCCAACAGGAAAGTCCATACAGTGAATGACACAACAATCATAGGAAACAACCAATCATAGACCACATCGTCAGAGCAAGCTACTAAATCACTGACGGTGAGATATTGACAACTCACTCACTTCATACTGAAGTTAGTGCTGATGATGTCACTGTCTAGAAAGACACGATGAAAGCTTCTTCACGATTAAACAACCAAGCTAGCTCAGAGAACACAATACAAGGCAGGAGCATCCACTTGAGCTACAAATATTCTCCAATAATTACAAGTGTATCGTTAACCATAAAATGTTTTTGTTTAGCATGAAAGGTAATATAATTTATATGCAATTGGAAAATTTTTAGGTTGAAAAACTCATCAACGAGTATTCAATCTATTTAACTAAAGATGGACGTATCAGTGTAGCTGGATTATCATCGAAGAATGTAGAATATCTGGCTTATGCAATACATCAAGTTACTAAATGAAGAAAACAAATGAATCAATAAGTAATGTGTATGTTATTTTATACACCGGGTTTTCTTTTCCTCTATCCTAACTACAATTTATCAAGTTTTATACATAAAATGAATTTTTGTCTTTTTTTTTTATTCCATTGTGAATTGTTGTTTTCATTGTTAAGCAATTGTATTCTATGTATAACAAACAATTCTGTTTATTTTTGGTTGCAAATTACTCCCGAGTATTTCTTTTTTCAAGCGACCGGTGAAAATAATTTACAAATGGGAGATAATTATATTATTTTTATTAGTATTATTGTTATTATTATTATTATTAGTCCCTTGGGTTCCTAATGGAACATAGGGCTTCAGTAGCACGTCTCTCTTCTCTACAGTCTTTTCAACCTGGCTCCACGACAGACCACAAGCTCTCATTTCCTCCTCGCACGATCTCCTCCATGTCACCCTCACCACGGACGTCCAACTCGTCGGTTTCCATGGGGGTTCCACTCGACGGCCTGGCCTGACGCGTGATGTCCCCAGTCGGCCTTCTCAGTGTATGCCCAATCCATCTCCACTTCCTTCCAGTGCATATTTGTTGGGTGATAGGTTCTTGCTTTGTTGGTTCATCTCCAGAGTTCCTTGTTACTTACTCTTACTCTTTCTGGCCATCTGATCTTCAGTAGCGAGCGTAAGCGGTTGTTGATGAATGTCTGTAGTTTATTGGAAATGCCTTTCGTAACGCGCTCAGTCTCTGAGCCATACAGGAGTACTGACTTGACGTTGGTGTTGAACATCTGGATCTTGTTCCACATGCTGAGTGCAGATCTCCACACTGGTTTCAGGCTAATGAACACCTGTCTTGCTTTTGCGATCCTGGCTGGCTTTGACGTCTTGGTCTGCGCCACCTGTAGTTGAAACAGTGCTGCCTAGATAGGTGAAGGAGGTAACTTCCTTTAAGTTTCTCCCGTTGATGGTGATTGGAGTTTGTTGTTGTTGTTGGTGGTGGTGGGGTATCTTCATCACTTCTGTCTTCTCTATATTCACTTGAATTCCCGTCTTCGCTGCCCTGCCTCTTCTGCCAACTTGTTAGTTTTAAACGGGAGATAAAATATCTGCTTAATTGTTTTGGTACAGTTAATAAAAAGGTTAAAATATGTTATGTGAGGTTTAACAAGCCAACTAAAACTTGACAACAATATAATAGGTTTATGTTAGTTGAATTCTTTCTGGGTAAGTTGAGAGAGGGTTAGGAGTGGAGTGATACTGTGGTTAATTGATATTTGTGAAGATAATTTTCACAGGGTTTGAACCCTGTTCCACTATGAAAATTTGACTAGTTAGGTAGTAGTAGTAGTAGTACCGTTAGCTGTCACACTAAACGGATGTCTACAAGGTTGGTGATTGCACTTAAATTTTCATTTTGAGCTATGAATGGAGATGCGCAGGGGGTATATGATGTTCTGATTCAGTGTTTTTAATTGACTTACATATTTGCTACAAATCTCGAAAACCAAAAGATATTGTTTAAGAGATTGTAAGCTTCTTAATTAGAGTCTGGTATACAACTGGAACAATTCAGGTCGCTAGCCTTCGCCCAGTTGCGCAATGACATTTTATCTTCGTCTAAAATTTATATATATTTTTATTTGTCCTTTGAGTTCCTAGTAAAACATAGGACTTCAGTAGCACCTCGCCATTTCACTCTGTTCTCTGCAATCCTTTCAACCTGGCTCCACAACAGCCCACAGGCTCTCATTTCTTCCTCACACAATCTCCTCCATGTCACCCTCACCTAGGACGCCCAACTCGTCGTTTTTCCTTTGGGTTCCACTCGAGGGCCTGGCCTGGCACATGATGTCCCTGAATGGTCTTCTCAGTGTATGCTCAGTCGATCTCCACTTCCTTCTTCATATTTATTGGACTATAGGTTGTTAGTTGGTTCATTGCCAGAGTGAGTTCCTTGTTGCTTATTGTTCTGGCCATTTAATCTTCAGTATCGAGCGAGCGTAGGCAGCAGCTATTGATCATGTATGTCTGTAGTTTGTTGGAAATGCTTTTCGTAACGTGCCAAGTCTTTCAATCATATAGAACCATTCTATAATGATGACGTTCCTTCCTTTTGATTTGAATCTTTCTCTCATGATCCTGGAGGAGATTGGTTCCCACTGCATAACAGTCTTCGATGCTTTTGGGGACATCATGATAGCCATTCCAAAACTCAGTGTGCTTGTGGCTGTCGTCTGGGTGACAATATCGGAGTAGATTATTGACTCTCCAGTTACCACTATAGAGAGTTCACTTCCGTTTTATCTGCTCTCTCAGATTCCTAGCACTTCTATGCTACACCTTCTCATCTGTTTTGCAATCTGAGCAGCCTTGCTAGGTTCATACATGATGCGGACATTCCATATCCCCCTACTTACTTTTGCTTTTATCGAGAGAAGAGAGGACACATCGGCCAATTGGCTTCCCGGGGCTTTTACCAACCGGCGTCATTTCATCTCTCCGATTCCAGCTAGAAATAATTTTATTTTTTACATTTCCCCTGTACTTTGAAATTTCTTTAGCGATTAGATCGGTTTTCCGGGGTAGGGTTGCTAGCCCTGCGCCTAACTTTTCCTCTTTATCCGGGCTTGGGACCAGCTCGTAAGCTAGGCGACATTTGCCATAATCTAGATTGCTTTTTTTGCATGCTTCTATATTGAGTCAAAGGTCATCATTGTCGACGAGTTCTTTAGGTCAAGATAATGTTGAATTCTACTGACCTATGTTCTCCATATTTTCATGTGAAGAAATATCTTTTTTTAAGATATCAGGGTAAAAAGCATTTCAACTTTCTAGACACAGTATCTGTGCATGGAAGTAGGCTGTTTTCTGCACTGGGTGACTTGAAAGTGGTCATTTCGTTTCTCCTGAGTTCAGGCGAAGGGTACTAGCAAAGAGAACGGGTAAGTCGGTCGATAAAGTTGTAAACCTTCATCGATTAAGAAAGCTTCTACATGTACTATGCATACCGTGACACAGCCCATTTCGACGCGCAGTGCTAGGGGAGGTTTGATTAGATAGAAAGAGAGGGCTCAGGATGGCCAGACAAAGATATGGCGCAAGTCGGTAACTGTTGGTTTGAGCCGTGTTAAGAGATATAGACTACCTGACTGGAGTCTGTGAGACGATTGGTTGAGGACTGTTTGGGACATGGCTGAAAATCTCACAATGGTGTAGATGTATTCACTCTGACATCTTCTCAAGCTTTAATATACTCACGAAACTCTATCTTTAAATTATTTACTGTCTCATACTTTGATATAAGACTTTTCCTATTCACTTGTTCTTTGTATACTACTGTAAACTCTGGCCCTTTTAACGTATGGATTTGTTTACGGATTCCTACGTTGATTCATTCTGTCTGTCTGTCGATTCATTTCCATCTAACTGATTATTTCAAGTTACTACATTCCTGGTATATGTTAAGCATCAAAGAAAAGTGTTGAGTGCGATAGTTATCATATGCGTGTGTTATAGGTGGTCTGGAAGTCGCCTGCTACTATGACTATACCTGAACGTTTTGTTTTCCGTAGGAAAACTGACATTTTTTGTTAGAATTCATCTGAACTGCAGGCAAAGATTATGAATAGGCATCCGTCAGCCTCAAAATACTTCATAGTTATTACACATTCTTTCAATCGAGCAGAACAAAGATGGCTGTTGGCTAGTATCCAATCAAGAAGTACTCTTTCTGCCGTACAAGTTATTTCTATGCCTACACTAGTGAGTGCACGAAAGCTAGTCGCCGAATTCCTCGATACTCATAAAGGAGATTCACTACATTGGCCTGGTGAGATCAAGTTAATAACTAGCACGACTCCTATCTCAAAAATATAGCATACATCCATGAATTGAGACTCCAGAGTTCTGGTAAGCGATGTCTACTGTCTGATTTGACGAAGGATTTGGAAGCCCCAATATGAAATCAACAGCAAGGTCATAAGAGAATAGGAATGGTATTTCTCTGATTTGGATCATTAGCAATGGTTGCCTAGTGAGGTTGAGATCCTTAAAGGCTTAATATTGTTATCACGAAATGAAGGCAAAGTAGAAGACGGAGATCAGTGAGGTAGGTTATATTTGATTTGATTTCATTTTCTACCTCAAGCGTGCAGACGGTTGACATTTCCCGGCTCTCTAAATTGTGGAAGACTAGTTCTTGTCGAGGTACCTGAAAATGAAGGAATAATGTGTGACCGTACAGTTCAAGAGACATCTGCCTTAGGTGTGTCACACTGCCATTTACAGGATGTTGTTTTGAGGTTTGCACAGTTAGTTATATAACGACTTTGAAGGCTGTTCCTACTGAAAGAAAAAAAGCGCATGTTCACCTTCGAAAACTATCTACACACAATGAAAAGTGAGATGACATGTCTAGACGACAAGTGTAAATCGCCCGCAAACAATGTTGAAGAAAAGTTAGAACAACAAGATCATCGTCTGGAAATAGGACAATTACCTATCTTATTGAATCGAACAGTTTATTGATAAGATGGATGACTCATCATCATCATTATCAACATAGGACCAGGCATTACTACTGCGTAACGGTCCGAGTTGCCACACCTCATATCAGCACATCAAGTAGAAAGGTAGTGAGGTGAAGGATGAAGATAAGAGAATGCAGTCAGAAGAAATATAAAGTACGAGAAGAAAGGAAAGAGGAGTGACAAAATGGTGAGATTCGGTATAGCGTTGTTAAGATGAGGATAATGTGTGTATACATCTGCGCCACTCACATCGGTTCTCAGCCATGTGATCACCTAGGGTCTCCAACCACTGGTTCCTCTTGTCCCGTGGACCCCAACCACCTAGTCTGCATCGTCCTACATGGCTTAAACCAACAGTCAGAGACTTCATACACTGGTGCCATGTTTTAGTCTGGCCACCTCGAGCCTTTTTCCAGCCTGGACCCACCTCAGCCAACATTGTGTGACGAGGAAGATGGATGACTACAACATTTTAATCTTGTGTAAATA